AGCCCCTGGTTCAGGGGGAGTTCAGGCGGGGCTCCCCGGTTGGAGGGGGGCCGGCCCGATTGGATGCCGGACAGGGAGGCCCTGAGCAGGAGGACTGGGTGGCCTCGGGGGCCCTTCCCACTTGAGGACTCTGTACCAGAGTCTTAGGAACAGAGAAGGAGAGGGAGGGGAGCCCCCCCGGGGATACCGGAGCTCGAGCAAATGTGCCGTCACCCGTTGGCCTGGCCTTTGCGGGGAGGCGGCAAAGCTGGGGTCTCGGAAGTCAGGCGGCCCACCCTTTGCTTCTGGGGGGCCCTTGGGACCCCAAAACAGCAACCCTGGGCCAGCCAGGCCCGGGGGGGGCAGCAAGCACAGTCCCTGTCCCAGGTTCCTTGGCTGGGAAGGAGGGGGCAGGGGGCTGCTGGGCTGGAGGAGGAGGAGGTGGGTTCCGGAACCCCTGATGTCGCAGTGCAACCCAGGAAACCCTGTCTATTTACCTTTGAAGACGTGGCGGGCACACGCTCCAGGCACGCGGGGTGTGAGCTGGGCCAGGCGGGCGGGGGTTGGCCTGGCCCCAGGCACAGGGCAGGAGTGGGCTCTGTGGGTGTTTGGAGAGCAGGCTGAAGCTGTGTCTCTCGCCAGGCTGGTGGCGTCAAGGATCCCCCACGACACATGCACACCTCGGGGAAGGGGGTGCTTGGCCCCCTCACGGAAGGCAGTGCTCTCACCCCAGCCCTGGCTGGTCTGGGCCCCCTCCTTGGGCCCCCCACTCTCCTGGGCAACTCTGGGGCTCTCCAAGCGAGCCTCAGGCCTGTGGGGCAGGGTCCGAGCGGGAGGCCTCTTTGCCACTTACGGGGCCGGACTCCCTCCGCAGGCATGGAGTTTGTGACCGGCTACCGGGCGGAGATTCTGGACTTTGCGGAGCTTCTGTTCGGGTGGTATCAGCGGTTCCTTCTGGACGCGGCCTGCCGCCGCGGGAGTGAGCGGCGAAAAAGGCAAGAGGGCTCCATCCGCCGCCTGCCGCCTGACCCGGCCCTGTGGGTCTTGCACGTGCTGCCCAACCGCAACCTGGCCTTCACGGTTGCCGACCCGGGCCAGCAGGTGGGCGGCCGCCTCTACAGCGAGGAGGCCCTGGCTCTGCAGGATCTGGACCGCTTCATCACCTTCGTGGGGGCAGGTGAGGAGGAGGAGGAGGAGGAGGAGGAAGATGCCGCGGCAACGGAGACAGGTAAGCAGCCGAAGCGCCTCGGGTGGCCCAAGGAGAAGAATTCAGGGCTGCAGCAGAAGCTGCACGGCGGGGTAGACCCCACGGCCTGTGGCCTCCGCTCAGCCTCTCCCTGGGCCGGGCTGGGGGGCTGGGGACTTGCAGTCCGGCAGGAGATGGCCACTTCCACAGGAACGGTTTGGCTCCTCCAGCCCTGTTCCCTGTTTGCCATTCCGAGGGGGCCAGGGGCAAAGTTTGGCCCCCCGCGTGGGGATTCCTCGGGGAAATGGTGCAGGCCGGCACCAGACGGGCTGCTTCCGTCTTCCTCGTGTTTCCCCAGGGAGGCTTTCATTAAAAAAACCATCAACAAACGTTCCACCTTGCCTCTGATTACGAAGCTTGCACCATGCCTGCACCAATACCTGTGTGCGTGCAGAATCTTGCTCCTAATCAGCCTCCTCTTCTTTGTTCCCTGAGTTACGCCGCCACGGTCTTTAGCCAGCAGGTAGCCACCTTCAAGCCAGCTTCTGTTGCTGCCCGCTGTTGCTGAAGCCTTGGCGCGGCGGTTCCTCAGCCTGTGCCGGGGCGAGGGACGGAAGGGGCTTTACCAGCTGTGGCCGGCCGGGGCTTCTCAGCATGGTCCTCCTTTACCGTTACTGACAGCTGCTCCACTCCCCGGCTGCAAAGCTTTCCTTT